GGGAAAAAAAAAGCGCTTTTTAAACCAACCCAAAGCAGCAACACTCTCTGAGAGAAACAAAAGCACCAAAACCATCACAGGCTGAACTCAAGGATCTGCCCCTGGACGAACACCCAGCCTGCAAAACTTGTGGGGAAATTGGCTGAAATTCTGAATTTAAATCAGGTGCAGCTGCTAATTAAAGAACAACTTGTCAGCACCCCCGGGCTGCTGGAATTGCTGCTTTTCCCAGCTGGGAGGGGACAAGGAAGGGACAGGACGTGGGGATATGAGCAGTGCTGGGAATTCCTCCCTCTGGATCAGGACAGGAGCAGGATAATTGGCTTCTCCATTGGAGAAAAGAAATGGGGGGGCTGAGCGAGGGGAAAGCCCAAAAAAATGACCCAGAATTCGTGGCCATCACCTCCCAAAAGCCCAGGGATCTTTAACTCCCAGGTCAATCAGGGAACGCGTCGCCCTGCTGGGCCCGGGGGCAGAATTCCTGAGGCCAAATCCCAGTTCCAGTCTGCCCCAGTGCTGGGAATTTCTGTGTGCCACCACTCCAGCGCCATTCCCACACCCCCTGATTCCCAAGGAAATATTTGGCATCAGGAGCAGCTCCGTGCTCCGAAGAAGTGCAAAGACAAAAAAGAAAGGAGAAGGCTGCTCCTGCCCCCTTGTGCAATTCCCACTCATCCCATCCAGCCGCAGCAGCTCAAGCACAGAACAACCAGGAAAGGACAGGCTTGAAGGTCAATCTTATCTTTTCCCTCGCATTATGGACTCCCTGGAAAGGGATTTTTCCACCTTGGTTTGTGTCATCTGATCAAGAGGAGTCTGAAGTCTGCTCTGACCTCTGAATTTAACAGAGGGAATGATCATCCACTGAAAAAAAACAACCTCCATTTCCCTGAAAACCGATTGGAAAGAGGAAAACCGAGAGATTGTCCCGAATCCCAGCTGGAAGCGATTGGCACTGTCGGGCCAACGCCGCGGTGCCCACAGGGATGGAATTCCAAGGGGAATTTTAGGGATGAGTTAACGAGCAGAGGCGACAGGACCTACACAGCAGGTACCAAACGGGACAAGCAGGACGGCCAGGAGCTGGCCCGGCTCTTTTGGGGTGCAGCGGGGTTTGCTCTCACACGGTGCACAGAGCAGCGCCGACACTGAGTGCAAAGGGGGTTTTGGAGGATGGGACCCTCCTCCCTCCGTGCAGGCAGCCCTGGGAGCGCTGCCTCTGCAGGGCAGGCAGCCCAGAGGGGAAATACAAAAGCAGCTGGAGCGGATCCAGTTTGGGAATCCAGGCCTTGCTCACGCCGACAGCGCACGGAGGGAAATTTCCTTCGTGAAAGGGCTCGGAGCTCCCCTCCTCCACGTCCTCCAGTCTTTGGTAATCTCAGAGGAACACCACAAACGAGGGACTTGGATGCAGCTCAACCCAAAAACCCAAGGAAAATCCGTGGAAAAAGGGCAGCATTCCCAGCCAGAGGAAACATTCAGCTTTCGGAACAAGTGTAGCGTCCTGGGCCTGCTCTGCCCTGCTTTCACAGCCCACAAGAATCTGGAATTCCCGAGGGATAACACTGGGATATTGCACTTGGCGGAACGTAGGGAGTACAGAACTGCCCCTTCCCAGATCCAGGGGGTCATTCCCAACAGCTCCGAGCCCCCTCTTCCATCATCCACCGCTTCCTTCTGCCCACGGAGAGCCAGCTGAGGAGCCAGGAGCAGCACAGGTGGGGTGGGAGGCTCCACAGTCCATGGGAAGGCTGAGGCAGCTGCTTTGGAGGAGGACTCAGCTCTGCAGGATCGGGAATTTTTCACTTAGGCTTCCAAATTAAAAAGGGGGAAAAAATATACCCGGGAACAACAGGAAAAACCAAAAAAAACCCCAACAAACGGGCGAGTTCGCAGCTGCAGGAGCACGTGGGAGGCCGGGGAAGAACAAACTGCTCTTTCCACACGAAGCCACTACCTCTGGAGGCCGGGGCCGCGCTGCAGCTTGCGCAGCAGGATCTGCGTCAGGTCGAAGGTGGTGAAGCTGATGCCCACGGCGATGGGGCCCTTCACCCAGTTCATGCTGAGCCCTTTGTAGAGGCCTCGCACCAGCCCCTCCTCGCGCACGATGTCCTGCATGGTGAGCAGGATGGAGCTGTAGCTGTGGCCCAGCACGCCGGCCGTCTGCATGCGGCGCCGCACCACGTCCAGCGGGTACGAGGCCGACTGGCCGATGAGGCCGGCGCACGCCCCGAACAGCAGCCGCTCCGGGGGCGAGGGCTGCGCCCTGCCGCTGTGCTCTGGGGGGACACGGAGGCGCGGGGGCAGTCCTGGGCACCCGCTCAGGGCTGCCGGCCCGGGGGCTCGTCCTTACGCGGGGTTTGTTTTTCCCCACCTTGTTCTCCCCGTGGTTTGCTACCCACTGTTTGCTCCCCGCGGTTTGCTCCCCAGGTTTTGTTCCCCAGGTTTTGTTCCCCAAGTTTCGCTCCCGAGGTTTTGTTCCCCAAGTTTTGCCCCCCAAGTTTCACTCCCCAGGTTTTGCTCCCAAGGTTTTGTTCCCCAAGTTTC